CTCTGACGTCACCAGTTTTGATGAACCATGTACAAACATCAAGAGGCATATTCAGCAGATCTCCATTCCTGTAAAGTCAACGATGTTAGATAATAATAATAATAACAAAAATATATTTCTGCGATAGCAGGTGCACGCCATTTTTACAGGCATGATCTACAATTTACAACATACACTGGTTCACAGTATGCATCTCAAGCAAGGTTGTTTAGTAATTATAATCTATAAAAGTTGATAGCAGTTCATTCGTTCACATATAATGTGTTTTCGTAAGAATAGTTTCCAAAGGGGCATCGCGTCAACGTTACATACCAGATCCAATCTCGACAAAAAGTGTAATAGGGTTTCGGTGGAGCTGAGTATTTATTTAAGTTCATAGTTGTTATAAAGTAGGCTTGTGGAGCGCCTGGTTCGAACTATGACCTTGGGAAAGCGCGTTCTTCGAGCATGTTCCAGATGTCAGAAGTTACATAGCTTCATCCTCAGAGCAAGATTCTGAAGAGAAAAAAAAGAATGAGAAATCGAGCAGCAAGACATTTGGATATGAACGATAACCAATGCTTAACATTTATTAGTGGAACAGATGGAGGTATGATAAATTATTAGATTAAATTGATACTAGCTCATGTTGCAAGACTGAACTGCGATTAGGGGCTCCATAGGAGAGAATCATTTAAGTAAACTTGTGTTTTTCAGTTGATCCTTGCAAAAGCAAGTGTGATCTCTAAAATGTATACTGAAAGAGACCTGAATACTATTCGCGAGGTCAAAAAGAACTGAATGTCACAGTCAAATTGCATACCGACTCGCCTTACAAAGAACAAAGTCAATACCATTGTCAAATAATCTAATTCCGGGGTTTTTTAGCCGGTCAAAAATTACTAAACTTTGAATTGTGATCTAATGTTCAAATAATGACCTAAATGTCAATGTACACAAAACGTTGGTGACTAGTCAGGGTTTATGACAATTTCTTAACACAAAACTGAAAGACAGCCATGGCATTCATCTCAGTCTACATGACAAAAGCCATATGTTGTTTTGAAAGGATTTGGAGTTAAAGATCCCACTCCTGTACTTTGAACCACAAACGACCACTCATTCTACCTAAAAGAAGGGTAAGAAATAACCAAATCATCTAAGACTGCTTCGCGTAGCCTTCTCTAACACTGATACCATGAAGAAATTTTTCTTGTCCAATCAAGTGATGAAAATTTAAGGGAATATGAACCGATTGCACATGCAATGCGAAATTCCAGCAGGAACCTTCCGAACGAGCCTCGAAGGATATTCATTCACAGATGCAACATTATTGTATCACACAAGTACATAGGCCTTGATGGATCAGTCTTCGATAATCAAGGTTGAAAGCTCATAAAGCAGCCCATGAAGCATAAAATTGTTCTGAACCATCAAGTGTAGGTCAAGAACAACGTGGTTACTAGACCTTCGACAAAACTGACGGATCTAACTGTCGAAGCACTTCAAGCCAACAAACCTTGGTAGGCAAATAAAATCTGCGTGTATACGGACAGGCCAGATTATAATAAAACAGCATAAAAGCTAATTGGAACCTATTATTTTACTTTTGAAACGTCAACAACCAAAGTATGTGGAAAGAGTAGGGATTCCTTATTGGGAGGGAGCTCTGTTGGCAGGATCCGTAAGGCCGATCCGAACCAACAAGACAAGGATACATGTTGTTCAAACCAAAAACATCAACTGTTTACAAACGAACACCTCAATTCCACAAACATAGCGGATGAATTGTGTCAACTAAGTGGAACAAATATTCATCTGATGAGAGTATATGAAACATGGTCGCTATTTAAATTACGAATCAGGAGCTGACGACACTAAGGCTACCATATACTTCCGATTGTTAGCACACCAAATGTACAATGGAGAGTTTATTATTCTTTGTGTACCTCATTGGTGATCAGTGAAACTAACACCTCGAAATGTCTAGTTGAAGCTGACTGCGAAAAACCTACGGCTAATACATATGGCGACAAACAGATGTTGAAGAAATTATTTTACTTTATTCGTTTTGGATGTACTCATATCCCAGTCTCATGAATATTTAGTCATTCGGAAGTCAACCACTCTGTAAACCCGTACAATGGAGGGTTGTACTGAAGTTCAGTTCCTTACCCTCAATGAAGAGCTAGGGTTAGGTAGGGTCAGTTGTTCGGTGATGAAACAGCCAGTATAGATCGTATTTCATAAGCTATTGATTTATACCCTGCTAATCCTGACTCCCCCGAGAAAATGTGATACTACTACTATAAGTTTTAGTTTCTTTTGTTAAGGCGAGCTAAAACATCTTGTTGGCAACAGACGTTGGGATTTTACGTGGTTGGATATATCGGTTTCAAAGGTTAATCTAAAGCTAGTGGACTGGGTCACTTACTCTCTGTTTCATGTGGATGCTAACTAAACTTTGTTGATGCAAAATCTAACTTGCTATAAATCAATGGGTTCAACGGGTCAAAAGTGACCTTTAAATATGGAGAATAGCACTCCTTTAATGTCAGAACCTTAAAAGTACTACTGGGCGAATCACAGACGAAGCGATTATTCAGAACATACAAGCATCTCGTACAAACAAGGAAGCAGTGCGAAAGGGCTCCAAAAGAACAGATGAGCTCTAGTACGAGATCTATCTGATCAACAATTTCGTCTGAAATCCTTAAAGCTTCTTGCGCCAGGTAGGTACTCCTAGAAAAGCTAGAACCACAGTTTCCCAGCTATTGTGCCGTAATTACTTAACCACAGAATCACAGAGTTCATGGCAGAACACCGCTCCCAAACATTTTATTCTCAAATAACAGTTTGTTACACGAGGCATGCCAGTTTACAGGAAAGATTAAATTATTACAGAAGATACAATTTTCACTACAGTAGATTACTCAGATGGGTTGATATTTTATAAGATATGAATGTAGATGGTTTTAGCAAGAAAAGTATCGTCAATATCACAACTGGCGCACTTTATAAAGGTTGCGTTGCGACTTGTAACTGGTGGTAGAGAAAAGATCCATGCGAAGTTGGGGGCTTTTAGAATCTTCAGCCTTATATTCTTTTGGAATATGTGAGGCTTTAATGATGATGCAGGACGAAGTCATCCGTTCCATATCTGTTTTTGGTGGTGCATCTCAAGGGAGCTGAAAAAGGATGTAATAAAAAGAAAGTCATATCATCGTCTGTACTGATCTGTCCCGCATGACAGACAAGGGTAGCACCTAGTGAATTCTCGTCTACCATATGTCCGGTCCCAAATTTTGTGTAGTCAAGAATCAGCGCAACTACAAGCCACTCCTGTACCATCAATCTCCAGCCGGTGGTAGGTAGATGGACTGCCAAATTCTACCGCAAGCGAAGAGTGGGTGTGATATCGCCCGATGTTTCGAAAGCATTCGATGGCGACAATCATGTGTCCCATAAATTAGCTCAAGTTCATAAGTGTCAAGTCCAACCCAATAGAATGGTTTGAGTTACGTCCAAACAACCGACTTCGTGATAAGGACAAGCACTTTGTTTTTTTCAGGCTATAGAGAAAACCGGAATGGCCCTCCCAAATTTTAAGTACCAGTGTCTTTTCTTTTTAATTTATATAAATGTCATCCGAGCTATTACTTTCCTCGAAGGGTACTAAAATTCAGACGGAAGTTTACAGTAATCATGACAAGCTATCAATTTAGGAGAATTTGGACAGACTTCAAAACCGGCTGTATTACTATCGGTTCACTTTTAACACTTCAAAGCGTAGATCAGTTCATCTGAGATATGTTGTAAACTGCTAATACAACCTAGGCGATTTCTTTCAAGAGATCTCTATGATTGATAAATATCTAGGAGCGTCGACACCACATGATCCAAAGCCCTAGGCAAATTCTGGCGAAAAAGGTTTTCGGAGTGTAACCGCTTCTATTTTGTTAGACACCCACGCGATTTGCATCAACTTTCGAAGAAATGGATTATTCTGTTTTCGGCAGTCATTTATTATTAAAACAAATAAATTTGAGATGGATGGACAGTAGTATGTGTTTGTACTCTTACTAATATCTTTATGCTCACGAAAGTAAAGTGATGTGAAACTAAATGGAACATGCCAGTTTGTACTCCTTTATTTTTCCTGATTGTCCGTCCGAGTTTACAAACCTGCGAAAATGTGTCCCACAAACTTTCTTGACATGTTTATCCCATTGTGCAACAACGCAAACTATGTGCAATAATATACAGGTATTTCAACAGGATTTATTTGTTTCGTCAGAATTGTCAGTGATTAGTCATAATGGTGTTCAAAAATTTGGTGTCAAATTACCAAAACTTGCACCCGTAAATTTGTGGCCCATTCTCCTCAGTTTGACAGAATATTTCATTTGATTTTTAACAGTTTTATTGGGTCCTGTCCATAATACAAAAGCATAATCTTGGGTGATTCACTTCAGAAGGATGGATATATTCCTTTATACACTAAAAAGAGCTACTAAATCGTTTCGGAGACGTAAATTCAAACATTGTGACTTACATTAGTAGATTTTTACTTATTAGGGATAAAGAGGACTCAAAGATGACTTTTAAATGACCTATAATATTCTTTGTATCCTTAGACAACCTTTTAATTAACTACCAATGCACAGCCTTAACAAAAACCTCAGGAACAATAAATGGAATTTAGGAGAACAACAGAAGAAACTGAAGCGATCATTACAAGTGGTCAGGTCCATGAATTTGCCACCGGATAACGAGATAAAATAAATTTTCCAGGAGCACTACGACAGGAAATACCACATATTATTAGGGAATCAGGACAGTATGTCATTCGAATTGATAAATATTTCCATACTTGTTACCTATGCTTGTCTCTCGGTATGAGGGCAGCATTGATTCTATACTAATGAACACGAATGGAAAAAAGCATAACATCTTTTATTCCGTTCTCAAACATTTTGAATATTTATTTTTTGCAGCTTTTGTTTGTTCACATAATCAATTTGTGATACGACCTTCGTCGTATGAATGCATCTTCAAAGTTTGTTTTGGCTACTGAGTTTTGGTCATGCCCGAGTATCCTCCGTATCCTTTTGGTCCATCCATCTCAGAAATACAGCAAGTAACACGTGATGAATTCGAACGTCGAAGGAGGTTAAGAATTCTTCAGGTAGTATCTATGTGTGATAGACATAAATTAAGGTCCGAATGCAAGCCAAAAGAAATGCTATCAAAGTTAGGATGTTATACAATGCTAAAAAGCAGCAGTTATCAGATGTTATTGCAAAGGATCTCCAAGTAATTGGTCTTTTCTAATTTTTTTCAGATTAAGCGTGCAAGAGAGGATGTGAAACTACTTGAAGCAAAGAAGTACGAATACTGTAGTGTGATGAATCAGTACGGAATCGGCCATAGATCTGCAGAAAATTGGGTTAGTCTAATTCTTAAGCCGTTAAATAAATACATATATCAACCAGTTTTTTGTTTTGATTGGCTATATCTTATAAAAGTTTTTTTAACCTACCAAGTTTTTAGCCACTGTCGTAAAGATTTAATGCAATGTGTTTTTTAATTCTTCCATATCGAATATAACGTAAGCAATGTTTCATGGCTTAAATGTGTCAGTCAGTCAATCTGCTGCTTTTTTGGTGTCTTGTTCTTTCTTCAGAGTTGATTGATTACATCAACTTGCCCTAAGAGTTCAAATAGTTCTGGGCAGAATACAAGAAGCTATCTCTTAGCAGGCTTCCGTATTTGGTAGCAGTGAATCACTGATGCCTCTAGACAGGTACTTAGGTATGTTATCAATAAGAGAGGAAAAAGAAAAAAAGGTTGGTAAATCATAGTGAGATACTGCCCTTAGTCCCTAAGAATATGTCAGGTTCTATCTTAAAGGACTCTTGGGGAGTCGTTTGGACTAGCTCAGCCGGCAGTGGATTCCAGCATTTGACTGTTCTTACGGAGTAGAAGGTGTGTTTCAAGCCCGTTATACTGTGCTGTGTTTCCAGTTTCTGGGTGTTACTCTTATCTTTATACATCAGTCTTTAATCTGTTCTCTCATTGGTTGTAAGCAAAGACAATCAATAATTTATCCACAATCCATTAACATATATATATGGATTTTTAAAACTCATGGACACACTGACATACTCACTCACTTGTTTTCCCTATGTGCTTTCTATCTGTACGCTTACGAATTTTTTACCGAACTTCAACAATAAACTACCTCTATAGCTGGTGTTCAGGCTTTTGAATAATCTCGAGTAAACCCATAATTCTACTACGAGACTTGGCCTACATTAAATATTCAGTTAACGGGATATTATTTGTTTATTGGAGTCAGATATATAGGAATGAATCCCCTACAGGGTACTGCGATTCCCACTACACCAAGACAGTGTTCAGGTTCGCTTCTGAAAGTCATGTGGAGTTGCAGAGGAAGCTTCCATAAGTATAATTAGTTTGTGTCGATTGAAATGTCCGAGAGTGCTGTACTCCCTGAATTTCATCGGCGTCACCTTCTCATCTCATTTTAATTGCTGGTGCGCATCTATGACGTCAGTTTTCGAGTTATGTGTGCATGAACTTATCTTGACTCCTTGAGTTAATTTTTAGTGAGAATGGTTTCATTAATCATTCCGGTCGCTCATTCGATCTGACTAAGTAGATGGAATAAATGACGTAGTTGAACCGTCAATATTCTCACTGTATCAATTCTCAAGTACTAATCGGTCAAACCTATAAAGGTAAAACAGTCAATTTTATAAGTACGTGAAAACATACTTCGTAACCAAGACAGCATCCGTCTGTATCAAATAAGTACAAGAAACTAAATAAATGAATATATTTCTCTCCATTCGGAATGAGCCTGTTGCTTAGAATAAGTAATTTTTGGTAACTAAAAACACAATGGAAACTAATTGATAGTTAGAAGAGATGAATTTCACTACATTTAAGAAAATGTATGTAGACATCAAATGAAAATGCAGATTTATATGAGTGAGAATTCTCTACAGTGGGAAAAACACACTGCACATGTTCCACAGAAGTGGTCGGTAACAATGTGAACTACTGAATATTACTAAGTAGTAAAGTATGACACACAAAGAAGCGAACAAGGTTTTCTACTGATGACCATAGGACATTTCTATTCAGTCACGTCAAATTGTTTTAATAGTTATATGCCAGTATTTATCTGATAAGATTCGATTTTCACTGACATCCGGACCATCAGCTTATGTTTTTTGATTTCTGGATAAATAGCTGAGTCATATTTTCCTGTTTTTTTCGCAATGTAAACCTAAATAGCTGATTTTTTTCTGATCCACAATTACTTAGATATGTCTTCTGACTAAATAATGAAATTTTTTAGCCTATGGAATTATTCATACGTACAAATTTTCGGGAATTAAATATTGTCTGAAAGGGGGATTTTTGGATGTTGTAGTAATTTAATATTTGGTCATTATGATTTCATTTTTATTTCCCTACTGATCTTTTTTGTTTTGAAAGTAATTTACGTTACATACTGTATTTATAGAACATCCTATTCTGTTTGTGAGTTAAATAGTATTCACATAAAGTGTTTCAATCCTACAAGCCCTTGTGTTTATCAAGCTGTCACGCATCCGTTTTTGGTTATTATAGAGTGATCCTACCTTAGAAACTTATTGGAAACTGTCCGTAGCCCAAAAACAAGCTGAAGATCGATTTAATATAGCTGTGGACAAACTGCATAAAGAAAAGCTGATTCAAGACCTTACACAACATGAAACGCAGGAGAGGATTAAAGAAGTTAGAAATACTGAGAAAAAACGAGCTGCTTTAATTGCTTCCTTACCACCACCAAAGGGTATTCTGTCTGAAGAAATTTTAAAACCTGCCTTAGGTATGATAGTCATTGTTACTTAATTTTAGTAGCTCTCGAAATCGCCGGTTATTTTTCACGAAATTCCCGGTATTATTTTAGTTTCTACTTATTATGTAGAAAATCAGTTGTAGTTGACTTACAATATTGATGTTTTTATATTAGAAAAAATACTTTTGGTTCTCTACATATTATACTTGTAAATTCATCGAATGTATTAGCTCTATTTAATACTCGTATAAGAACAGTATTGGGTGCTCTCATAAACTATGAAATGTCACTTAGTATCACTAGTCATGAATTTATTCAGAATATACAAACTGGTTTCGTTTTTAGTGACAATTTACCAATATTTATAGCCATGACTGTTTTATATTACTGTTATTATCTCTGGGCGTTATTCTAAATGATTTGGATCTAATTTCCACAAGCTGACTTGTGTTCATACTTGTGACGAATGACAAATTAAAGGTCAGTATAAGGTCTTTTATGTCCAGTTGATGTGTGACGTAATACATAATGTAATATAACAGGAGAAATTAGATTTAAATTTATGATTCTACACAGCTGATACTAAATACTGAGCTACGATACTAGACAGTAGCACATGACCGATAGACAATAGGTGTGGTGCGATGAATTCTAGACCAGGCACTAGATCACGATATCAGAGTGCGTAACATTTACGACTCAATTATCCGACTAATAATCAAAAATCAAAATTATAGCCCAGCACCAGATAATATTAACACAAAGTACAAATTAATCAACACAATGGAGTCAATTTTACGTATAAAGGTCTTTTTTACAAGATATAGCTGAGCGTATATCTTTACTCGTCAGGCAATCCATCTTACTTTCTCAGATTTGCATAATTATAGTCCAGTATGAATGCTTATTTTTGAAAATTTCACATTTCTTACAACAGTCCCCTGGAGTCTATTAGGAGATATTAAACTAGAAGATTTGCAATTTCTTTAGATATAACAACTCACTCATATTTTCCTTTAAACTGTGTCCAAATGATAATGTGGAATGAATAATTTAAATGCCAACGTCATTGCAGTTGAGTTTAAGGTTCCAACCGAGGAACTTGAAAACGCTTGGGACAGTTTGGAAGTGTTCTGTGTTCAAACTTACTATCTACCTTGATCTACACTTTAGTGTGACTATGAATATGGTTTTTTCAGTACATCCAGCTAAAACAGTAATAACTGTCTATTATACTAATTAGTGTTGCTAAACTTTTTAAAAAGCTGCTAATCTGCACTCCATGATCTCTACAATCCTTCGTCGAAAGCTTCATTTTATGTCACTCGGTAGGTAGCAGGAGGATAAATACTTCGTTTATCTTGATGAGAGGTAGGCATATATTATAATCCTGGTCATATATTTTACTCTTACGTTGATTTACTATTACTTCTGTATATTTTTAAGCATCTAGCCATCCGAATATCTGGCAGTTTCCACCTTTTCTAACTTAGCCTTTCTACTTTCTCGCACAGATGAGTCAAGTAGTTATTTTAATATTTGGCTAACTAATATTTAAAAAACCTTTCATCATTCCTAATTACCCTTTATTTATTATTAGCTTTATTCAATATTATATTTTTGATACAATATAGAATTCTCAGCGCAAAGTATTTCAGAGAGTTTCCGTTTCATATTTTCTGATTTTTATTGACGATAAATATTGAGTGAATGCCAGTTAGATATTAGCATTTCAGAAGTCGACATCTGAATAATATTCATTCAATGCATATTGCCAGCCACCAAGATGTCTCTGATTGTACATTTTTGTAACTTGTACATAGAAAGGTCGTAAACGTTTCACAAACGCATCTGAATATGTTATGGAATTAATTAACATAATGATCTATTAAAACAAACAAGGAAGCATATAACTTGTTAAAATATCTAAATGGCAGGAACAGGTAGTCCAGATATTCAAGCAGGCCATCTTAAATTCCACTAATGTGTATTTAAAAACTTGTCCTTTTTTAACTCTCCTAATAGCTTGTGAACCCTTGGTTCTTGTGTATGATATTGAAGCTAGAAACACAACACATACACAGAATGTGCAATCAAGAGTAGTTGTTAAAAGCATCAACGTTGACGAAGAAAAAGATATTGGACCTCAAAGTGCTGCGATTTCAGCGTGTAAAGAAGAACAACGTATACAAGCAGTTGAGCTTGAAAATGCCATTCATGCCCGTGAAGATCTTATCAAAGCTGATATGCGTGGACGTCAAGCAATGAGAAAGTAAGTTGGTGCTTGTGTCGAAAAGGCTTTTAAAATTTAAATAGCTTATTTATTTACTTTAAGTTCAATAGTGTTTCGTTTCAGCCTTATGTGAAAGCTGTTTTGTGCTAGTTGTTTAAATGACCTAAATATTTCGGAATAATATTGGTCACTGGTCACTGCTTGTTAAATAAACATTAACATTAAAGAATGTTAAACGCTTTATATTCCCGTTAATTAATCTTATAACTGAAGACACCACTTAGTCATTGCTCCGAAACCTATTGATTTGTAAGGTTTAAAAATCCTTATATTTATAACTCATCAACATCATTAGTTCAACAACACAAGTTAGTTAAATAAGCATTTGGTCAAGATTATCGCTTTTTCTCAAACTTCATGTAAAATTTGATTATTCTATGAGTTCACGCGTCAAAAACTACGATATGAGTTCAAACCATGTTTAATCTACTGTATTCTGAACTCGTAAGTTGTACTAGTAGAGGTCTTAGCTTTCTTGTTGTTGATACTCGGGAATTCGGTCAATCAATCTCTTACAATTTCTCACATTGACAAACTCCATTTTATTCAAATTATTCAGTCCCTGTGGGTGTATAAAAATCTTAAGCAGGCGCCTTAGTTTTTATTTCAAAATGACTCAGTAGCTTAGTACGTAACTCAATGATCTTTGAAGTGATATGTACTGGGTTTGAATTCCAGTGTGGACAGCAACATGTAGCTAATGCATCTCAAATAGGACTAAATGCTCATCCTGGATTCCCTTACTAGCTCCAAGTCAAATCTGTTAGTAGTTTTAATCCTAAAGGAGTGGATTTTTCTGAGTATCTGCTGCGTGAGTTTGTAGGTGTTCAAATTGCACATATATTACTTAAAATAACATTAGATGTACTTACATTTAAATGTAAACTCTGTCAACGCAATTTTTGTGTAATGATTATTGCTTCAGTGTTTTTAAAACATTGGTTTTTGCATGATTAAGTTTGTAATTACGAAATAAACGATTGACTAGAAGAATAAACCAATGTATTCTTATTGTTAATCTGAATCTAAGACGTACATTTTTGTCTTATTCGCGAAAAATACATATATCAACACCAAGTTGTTGATATAGAAACGCTTATTCAAAGGTGAACTATATCATAAGAGATGTACCTGTAAGCACGAAATCATTCCAAATAATATTATTTACCCATGAATCGACTTACAAATAAAAAAAACTGGTAGACAATTCTCCGAAGGTTAAAGTGTTGAGTTGTGAGGTGAGGTATCAGAGGTTGAAAGATTTCTAACCGACAAGCTCTAACCAGCAAAAAAATGTACAGGAGCTTAAGTTATTTCGAAAGCCATATCGAGATTGACTCTCAGTATGAAAGCTAGCAATAGAATGGAACTTAATCCCTAATAGGATGAGATTCACGTTCTAAATTTCACTGTTAGCCCCTATCCAACTTTATAGTGAAATGCTATTATAGTAGTTGGAAGTTTCCTTAGTTGTAACTTATCATTTTATCACTATCGGATTGTAATAAGTAATTATTTATCTGGCCTTAAATAAATGTGTCAAATTAGTTTATCGAGCAATATTGTCATCGGTTTCCTTGACATTTTAATCGAATCATGTTTTTTCTACAGTAAAAGTAGGGCATGTATTTTCATACTTTATTTGAGCTCTTATATGGAATAACGACCATATCCCATGTCTAACAGGAATAATTCCGGCTCTTCCGGTTTATCTGGTTTAGTGTGTTTACTGGTTGAAACTCTTATTTATATTAAACTTTCGTAGTTATTTTACGAGCAGTAAAATACTTTGTGGTATCAAGTATGTAGCAATCTTACTTCGTTTATGTATAGAAATTTAACTCGTGTTGACAAATGGTTATTTCTGTTCTCTCTACCTGTTAACTCTGTCTGTGAACTTCCATCCTGTTTGGAACAGTACGCTGTAGGTGGTCTGGTAGCTTTCTCAAAATTCTTTAGCTATAAATTATGCAGCATTTCTTAATCTTGCATAATTGACTCCTAATTTTACACTGCCTGGCAAAATTTGGGTCAGGAGGGTGTGAGACATTCAGCATTGCAAATTAATCTTGGACAATAGCAATTTGGAGATAGATTAGTTAACAGACTTTTCATCTGGTTTTTGTTTAGAGAAGAGAATCAGATTTTATAATTGGTTTATCGGTTTTAATGTTTGTTACACTTCGCTTACATTATGGAAATAATTTCTCATGAGTAGATTATGTGGTAAATCGTTAGATTTTTACCACATAACTGTTAAATTATTTTAATATTGGATTGTTTCAATGAATGGGGCATTTTAGCTTTTTTGAAAGAACACTTCTAGTGTAAATGGCTTTGCTATTATGATTTCATTTTAGAGAGCGTGTCCGTCAATATTATCAAGCTTTACTAAATCGTTTGGATGAAGTCAAGCGTAATGAGATTTTACTTCGTAGAGGTCAATTATATTCTGGAACTGTTGACAGCTCTCATGGGCATGGTGGCGGTCCATGGGATGATGCTGTTGTAAACCGTCGGATGGAAAAAGTCTTTGAGGTATTTATCACATGTTATTGAAATTTGATCTTTAGGCAGATAACTAGTATAAAATCCTTTCAAAAGTTCTAATACAACGACTAACTAGAGTGTAAAATCTCGAAATAGAAACATAGAGTTTCCCTAAAAAACTGTACTATTAAGGAAAATAACACAAGTAATAAGTATTTAAGCACAGATAAATGATTGTTAACAGCTGTAATCCAGAGCACATATTTAGTCGTGTTTGAGACCAGTCGGTGAGATGTATTGACATCTCACTGTTGATGGCCCAAATGGGATTCGAACTAAGTTCCTCTCATTTAGAGTGCCTGACTGGTCATCGACTGGGTCATTGTGTCATGACATGCATTAACTCATTCAACAGACATGGTGTTTATATAATTATTGGTAAGGTTTTGAATTATCCTGTTGTTGTTATTTTTGAGTGAGTTTTGGTCTGTGGATGACGCGTTCGGTGTTTGAAGTGGAAGTTACTGGGTCCGAGTTGTAGCGTGGACATGAGAGTTGATATGGAGATACATTTAGCTGATGAATCTGAGCTAAGGCGAGAGGTTCATCCTATTTTCCACTGCTAGTCACAATTCATCTATTCTATGAAACTTGTGACCTAATGATAATATCGATACAATCTGTTGAGGACACGTGTGTACTAGACAAGACTGATCAAAATCTGGTCAATAACATTGACAGCGGAAAGATTCAAACACTTACAAATGAATAATAACAAGTAAATCAGGTATCAAAACTTTGGACCGTAATGTTCCCAGGCGTCGACAATCCTGTCAACGACACAGTATCAAATAAGACATATTTTAACAATAATCGGATAAGAGTTAAATTGTAATATGTACCATTTACTTTGAAGACAGCACGCGACTGTATCAAATTAGTACAAGAAACTAAATAAATGAATATATTTCTCTCCATTCGGAATGAGCCTGTTGCTTAGAATAAGTAATTTTTGGTAACTAAAAACACAATGGAAACTAATTGATAGTTAGAAGAGATGAATTTCACTACATTTAAGAAAATGTATGTAGACATCAAATGAAAATGCAGATTTATATGAGTGAGAATTCTCTACAGTGGGAAAAACACACTGCACATGTTCCACAGAAGTGGTCGGTAACAATGTGAACTACTGAATATTACTAAGTAGTAAAGTATGACACACAAAGAAGCGAACAAGGTTTTCTACTGATGACCATAGGACATTTCTATTCAGTCACGTCAAATTGTTTTAATAGTTATATGCCAGTATTTATCTGATAAGATTCGATTTTCACTGACATCCGGACCATCAGCTTATGTTTTTAATATCTAGATAACTATTAGATATTGTCCATCTTGTTCAAAGTTTTAAAGGTTTAGAACGACTCATTTCAATTAGCATTAAATGTATATATCCTTTTCCTAAATGTGGCACATGTTAAATTCTGCCTAGACTCGTTAATTCACTACTAGACTTCTCCCTGATCTATCTGGCTTCCATCCTCAGCCAGCAGTTTGAATTTTGAACAATTGCATCAAAAATTCGACCCCAAATTTACTTCATTTTTAGGGCAGCTGTAGTGTAACTATCCTTCACATTTAGTGATTTACAGCCTAGTTTATGAAATTGTACTTGGTAAAAATAGTTTAACAATTATTAATACACTGTCGTTCAACCGTAGACTTAATTCTTTATTCATTTGTAAATTATCAGGATGAATTACTTTATCAGTTGTCAAATATAAATCATGAAGAATACATCGATGATATTGAAGAAAATACTTTAGAAAACGATAATAATAACAATAACGATATAAATGGATGTAATGATGTGTTGGATGTGGAAGGTAAACAAAAAAGCTTGCCCGTAAAAGATGTAAAACTTACTAATGATAGTAATCTCGTTGAACAACCAATGTCGCTTTCAAATGATCAGGTTTTAGAATTATGTAGGTCGTCCTAATGGAAAAATCCTTTTAAAGTGTATCTTTTGTAATTTATGTTTGTTCATTTATCAAATCTAATTATTGTTCCCCATCTGTCAACATACTGAAGTTTTTTTCATGTTAGTCTATATACTGTTGTCAATTAATATGTTCTGTTTATATATAGTTTGTCGATAATTGGCAGCAGAATTGAGATGGTTTCATCTGTTTTATTTAAGTTTTTCGGTAGGATATACATATATATCTTCGTAAGAGTAGTTTATTTACTGACATAGATAGATCATTTTGATCTAATTACTGAGACGAAGGAAAGTAAGGTATTCAAATCAAATTTTAGACGCATGTTGCAAGAGGTGGGAATAGTTTTCTTCCAGCTCGACTTAGTAATTAAGCTGATGTTGGGAGTAGTCAACTTGAAATTTCAATTTTTTGGCAGCGAATAAATTGAGAAAAGCGATGTGAAGTTTCGAACTTTGAAGATTAAAAGTAGGATTCTTTAATAAATGAGCTACTGTTATACACAAAAATGAAATCTCGTTATAAAGCATTCTAGTAGATAACATTATATTGTTTAAAACAATAGCTGCTATGTTTGTATTTTAGTGTATGATCTGCTGGAATCCAGGTACTTTTAAGCGAATTACTCGCCGTAGATTCGAAATGATGAAGTAATCACCCAACTAACGTACAGAAATAAAAAATTTGATCATTTCATCATGACTGAGCTAATTGTAATCACAGTAACAATTATAAATTGAGTTGGGAGCATTGACTGGCTAGTAACTCATTTATAAATTTATTTATTTAAACACATAAACATTGGTATAAAGGTGCACCAAAAATGTATAGGCAACACAAATAATTAAATTTATTTGTGGGCTGGGGTACTACCCGAGTCGCCAAACCGAAGTAGATGGTCTTCCTGAGGAAGGGCACTCCCCGGTCCTCGAACCCAGAAGTCTAATGCACAAAGCAATCGAGCACAGTCAAGATATATGATCCCAGGTTGACCGGTAACTGACGATAGGTTCATACGTCATTTGTTCCCTCATGATCCTGGAGGCCATTTGCACCATTGGTTTGTATTCATAGTTTTCTAATTTCCCTAGGTGGATTCGTCATATCTGCCAACCAGGTTTAAGCGCAGGAAATTCGTTTTTCGTCCTCTCAATTTCGTAAACAACATTCCCTTCACGATACGGTATTGAGTAGGACTTTCTTGACAGCGGCTATATATGCTTGGCCATATGAGAGGATTTAGAGAGGTAGAGAGGATTTCTCTCACCGTCGGCCGTACCAGGACATTTGGGAGCCTCCAAATTCCCATTCATAAATATAGATACATATTCCTCAGCAAACTAAACGATACTTTCAACCAATGGGATATATCTGTTTCTCAAGAAAATGTATTTAAATATTGACCAATAGCGCACATTTGTCAGCATATCACTTTTCCCTCCTAAAAAGCAAATCTCCCCTTTTAAATTTAAATGCATGGATTGAGGTATCGGCATATCAAAAATGGCGTACAATGACATAATAGTTACTAATATCTCTAAAAATCTATTTTTGATGTCTTTTAGTTGATTATTATATGTCTAATGTTAGTCTCTATCTAAGTTACCTACAAACTCAGTTGATTTGATAAAATATTGACATGACTTGAATGGAAAGATGAATGATGTTGTACATAAAACGTATTCCTAAATTCCAAACAAATGGCATTTCGCAATAAAAAGCTATTAGCCGACAGGTTAATATATATATATATATATATATATATATATATATATATATATATATATATATAGGGAGAGAGAGAGGCAATTAACATAAAACCTTGAGTATTCATATCATTTTACTTAGTATTCGTTAATTAGGCCTACATAAAACTACTTTACCATTGTTTGTTCAATTTTCTTACATTCACTTAACTCAATATTTTTTTCATGTTTTCATTTTCCTCGTAAAGATCAGGATATTAACGATGTTGATGAAATTTCACATCATGATGAACAATTAAGCGTGATAGAAGAGAAAGAAGAACTAATGCATGATGAAAAAAAATCTGTAAACTCTATTGATTTAGGACCTGGTGAAAGACCAATTCTACCTGATATTCGTCGTTGTCGTATCCTTTCTGAATCAATTAATTTTACAAATTCTATTCATAATATAAACCATAATGAAACTTGTAAATTAGTTCATGGAAATTCAAAAATATCTCCACAGTCTGTTGCATTAAGCAAAACATCATTTCAAGATAAATCTACTAGCGATATTTGTACAGACAATGAGAACATACAATTACGTCAAAAAGTATTAGAGTATGTTTTATTCTGTCATTATTATTATTATTATTGCTTCACTCAGTTTGGTTTTCATTTCCCATCTGTTTGATATAGTTACTAGAAATGCATCTCACAGTTTTGTGAAGTACCTAGATATACATTTTCATCATATTTTAAGTAAATAAATGTTAAAAAAGCTAAACGTTTTTAGATAATTGTTAAACAATGTTTCCAGTTTGGAGTTAGTTTTCATCTTGGATCAGTATAAACTGGATAACTATTAGAAATAAATAGTTTGTCTTCTTTTGATATTCTACTCTTCAACAGTACGCTCATCTGGTATTACATAAGGGATCAAAGTTAAATCTTTCATGTCTTTGATTGGTTGGAGTATTACTTACTTACTTACGCCTGTTTCTCCCAATGGAGCATAGGCCGCCGATCAGCATGCTCCAACCCACTCTGTCCTGGGCCTTCCTTTCTAGTTCTATCAAATTTTTGTTCATCCTTCTCATGATTGTCTCCATTTCTCGGCGTAATATGTTCTTTGGTCTTCCTCTTCTCCTTTCACCTTCAGGATTCCATGTGAGGGCTTGCCTTGTGATGCAGTTGCGTGATTTCCTCAAGGTGTACCCAATCCACTTCCAGCACTTCTTCCTGATTTCCTCCTCCGCTGGAATCTGGTTTGTTGTCTCCCACAGTAGGTTGTTGCTGGTAGTGTCTGGCCAACGAATCCGAAGTATATTGTGTAGACAACCGTTAATAAACACCTGTATCTTCTGGATGATGGCTTTCGTAGCTCTCCACGTCTCCACCCCATATAGTAGAACTGTCTTAACATTTCTATTGAAAATTCTGATTTTGGTGTTGATTGACAATTGTTTTGAGTTCCAGATGTTCTTCAGTTGTAAAGATGCTGCTCTTGCTTTTCCGACCCGCGCCCTCACATCTGCATCTGAACCGCCGTGTTCATCGAAGATGCTGCCCAGATATGTAAAGGTTTTCACATCCTCTAAAGCTTCTCCGTCAAGTGTAATTCGATTGATATTGAAGTATAACTATTAAACATTTAATTTAGAGTCTAGTGACCTGAACATTCTCAACTTCATTTAATTGATGATATACAATGTTTATCGTTTAATGTAATTAATATGGGCATCTATCTATAGTCTAAATATGTCAGTCTTAAAGATTAGTGATTCATACTAAAAATAACATTAGGAATTTTAATTCATGTTTAATCATTTGTGAGTAGCATAGTACTTAAATTTCCCAAAATAAAATGTACCTGTCTATGAAATGATCTATATCTTTTTTATTTAATTTTGTAAATGCTTTAAGATTCATTGTATGTTTAAATTAACGAGTTTTTTTGTTTCCATATTGCATAAACTTAGATCTGTAAATTCATTCAAAATTGATTTTGATTCTGATTAATGTATATATGTTTGATAAACTTATAGAAATACTGTTGTTTAAAATATTCTTATATTAAAGATGGATAGTGGCTAGCAGTGGAATCTAGTTTGACGCGCGTTTCGTCCTATTTGGGACTCGTCAGCTTGATGTACCTGCATCTCAGAGTTGATGTTCACTCTGGGACTCGAACCCTGGATTCCGCTGCTAGCAACTATCCATTTTTGCTTACAATGTTTGTGAATTAAGGCTGTATCGAGGCAATACGCACAGTATGCACATATGCCAATTAGAGACTGACCAGTTGCAGTTCTAAACATCAATGGGAAGATTCAAACAAACAATACTAAGTGAATTTATTCTCATATTGTTTTACATCATCAAAACAAAAGTCATTTAGAGTTCATTATTCATTAGAGATGACATGATCTAGATTAAGACTCATTCATCAAAAAAACAATATAAACTTTTGTGTAATGTTTAGGTTCATTTTTTTGGATGTATAAATTATCTGAAATTTTTCACCTTGTGTTATGAAATAGTATGAGTATCAAAATTCAATCATTAGGTCGTTCAATAAAGCTTCCTTCCCCAGCACCTCCTGGATGATATTACTAGGCGTCATAAAATGTGATCGGAATCCTAGTACACAATTATATATTGCTAATTGAGCTACATTATTTACAACGGGCTTTGTGTCAAGGACATTGTGCAATCGGTTTCCGGTTGTACTTTATATATTAGACCTTTATTTTTTTCTTAGTAACCTAACAATTACTCAGTGTATGTATGTGTATATACCAGTTAGTTATTTTGTAGTTCTGTATTGAATTTAGTCTCCGAGGTTTTACTGAGATGAAAATATCGCATAATTTGTCAGTTTATTAGATTGTAAACTGTTAATATTGCCTTATGTACAAAAATTGTGTTTAGTCTTATAGACTAGCGCATATTAGTCAGGCTGTTATTAACAATACGGTGCCTAGTACATTTACGTCCACCAATCCAAGCTTCCATGCTACATTTAAACAACATGAGGTAATAACAAGACAGAAGAAGTGAAAGTATTAGCAATGTCTTCAGTAGTAAGATAAGATTAAAATGGAAAATATCGTTTGAAAGAAAGGATCTAAAAGGTATAAATTAATATGAAAACTCAAAATTTAAATTCGGAATAATTAATTAATGGGTTAGCACCAGTAAGACCGATTTCAAATCATATCACATGAGGTCTCTGACCATTGATATTGATTATCAGGTGAATCTCAATCAAGAAGTCTCTGTCTCTCCAAAAGACTAAAACTAGAGCGACCTGTTAACTATTGAAGCACTGGAGTTTCATTCAGTAAATTGAATATTTAAATTGTGCCCCGTCTACCTTAATTTAAGCAACTAACAAGAATCACTAGCTCTGATACAATGAGTGTAGTTCAAAGCTGATTACATAAATGTATACTTGTTAAATGAATTTCAGTATTATGACTCAGAATGACGAGCGATAACTTAATAAACTGAAGTCATATATTAATTTGGAGAGGTTAGTGCATATGAAACCTATACACATTATTGTATTATTTTTAAATTTTTCTATTTAAAACCGTTCATACGTTTACAGTGAAGAACTAGACATGATCGATAAACGCATTAATCGACTTCGACTCGGCTCGGCTTGCGATCTTCATGAAAGTCAATCACATTCAATTAAATTGTCAAGAAAAGATTTGGAAGAATCTACTGAAATAAATAACAATATAACTCCTAGAAATATGTATATAGTTGAAGGTTGTGTCTATGGAGATAATGGAGTTAGTGATAGAAAAGATTCTTCAAATTTGCCGATAGATTTATTAAACACAAAACCTAAGAAAAACGAAACACCTTCATTACCTTTAATATCACAACCGACTACAACTGTTGCACTGAACGTAAGTACGCTGACTTTCCTGACTTTTCCTGTTTGTTATTCTTATATAAAAATATATGCTCTGATTGCTCTAAAAAGTATATTTTATGGTGCCTTGAAATGAAAACTTGTTTTCACTTTCTAAAAGGTATCTTGTTACATCGGTTAGGTTTTGATATATCTCTTTGTTTTATATGAAGATGATTATTTTTTCAGTGTGTAGTTCGCATACATGTTGATCTAATTATGTCACTCCTTAATGTGCTGTAAGAAGAAAAATATCGCATTACTGTAGACACTCGTTGAAGTCTGAACGAGTAGTTTGACGGAAATTGGGTACTGAGTGTTTAGAAATCACTATACTATGTGTCAAAGTTATACTTGAAATAATCTCAGTGATTGAAATTTATAGAGCTTTAAGATTCCATCCAGGAAACTGACCTGATCTTCACGAAACCTAAGCTCAACGTGTCATTTGGGCTCCTTTTAACGACACAACACTATCATTCTATATTCTTCATCAGAGTTCACTTTCAGACTTCAAAGGCTTATTTGAATTTATTGTCTGGGGTGAAGTTGATAAACTAGTTTTTCACCAGAGTATACTTTCACGTTTATTTCTGTTGTCTGAACTCTTAGGATTAGTCAGTCAGTCAGTCAGCGACAACGTAGGACCAGGCACATATATGCATCGGTCCAAGTTGCCATACCTCGTTAGCACAACAAGATGAACACCGGATTCATAGATGTAATTAATTTGGTGGTGGTAGTGTTGCGTCGTGCTCGTTCGGCGAGGTATCCAATTCTGTAGCGTCGTGCTCGTACGGCGAGGCCTCCAATTCTGTTGCGTCGTAAATCTGATTCTTTTTTGATCGTATGAATGATTGTTTGTTGTCAAAATATACGTACTGTCTATCCTTGTATGTAATAAATGACTTTATTCCGCGTTGGTGAACAACGTAGTTAAATACGTCAAATACGAGAATGGATTTAGAATACATATAATTTCTACACTCATTGGTCTGGCCAGGGAATCAGAGTGATGAGGCGAATAGATGAGAGCGGAACGAAGCAAAGATCACGCGCGATGGAGATGGCTGGGAAGCCAACTCGAGAGCAAAGCGAGAACAATGCGCATTGGAGATTGGCTTGGCCAGTAGCTAGGATAAAGTATATGGGCTTAACAAATAAACTGATACTACATAGCCCCCTTGTAGAAAATAGCACATTTATAAAAAAATGTCTGTTTTCGAAAAATAACACTGAAGCGGTATGTAAATGGGGTTAACATGTAGGGAAAAAAATAGTACAATACCTGTCAAATGAGGGGTGAGTGTATTATACGAAAGTGTCATACTTATGTAAAAAGGTACATGAGTATTCTCAAAATGAGGACAGAAATGGAAATGTTACCATGTGATTATGAGTAAATTGGTAAGCGTACAAAATTTTTTAACATGCATTTATGTTGAGACTGTCCGGATGATAAAATAACATGTTCGTATGAGCGATTCGAAATATCGTGAAAGTAGAGTAATAAATCGTTAATAGGTATAACAGCGGAATAAATCGTGGAAATAAGTAATGTAGAATATAATAGAAATTGGTCTGTAGTGCCAATTGAACATGAGGATAAAGAACAGCGAAATATGTTCCGATAAGCCGCAGTAAAGTAAATAGCGTCGATCAGCGATTAGTAGATTCGAATTTATATAACTGAAGTTTATGTGGGATAAAAAATAATCCAGCCGTAAGATGATGACTGCATCAACGGGTGATATTCGTTGCTGTGCTGCTACTAACAATGATAATAAAATGCGAAGTCAGTGTGCGTTGTCGTGTGTGTCGAGTTAACGTTAAATATGTATTAGTAGAATGACCAGAGGAACAGGATAGTGACTGCTGAGACGAGATATGCGGAGTCGTATTCCTTTTTGGTCATGAAGCCTAGCGTGGTTTATGTAGTTAGAGGGATATGCGCTCAACCTCATTTGTTACGAAACCGTATTAAGGCATTATAAAAATACCAATACATATGATTATCGATGACAGCGAGTGAGACTGACTTGGATGTGAAGAACAAGAGTGTATCTTTGAGAGACTAGCTCTAAACTCTATGTTTTGGCGTACAGTGCATTGAGAATAGAATATTGATAGCAGTAATCGAATAGTATTTATGGGTAACGGATGATGCAGCATTCAGTTATACATGTGAATGAATAGATAATATGAACATAATCATTACAAATCGGCTGGTAATGCGGCGTGGAATACTTGATTTGCGTATAGACATTAAAGTATGGATCATCGTGAAACCAAAATTGCTGAAGTTCAGTTGAGGTTGTCGCGTAAAATGTAGAAAATGACGATTGCTGAGTACCGATGAGATAAATGAATATTAGTTGTATAGAGAACATAAGTTCCTACTATCGGGAGTATGACTCCAAACTTATGTCTATGATAGAGTGTAATATTAGACCGAAAGTGACATGAAAAAAATTGGAATGAACTCACTTGAATCAGGAAAATTGTACGTCATTGGATAATAAAAATAATCCAGTGAGTTTCGAATATCATAACGTGTAATGTCCATATAATTATGATTTGTTCGATTAGTGATTCGACCGCGTAAATGCCATAGTTTAACGTTAATACGAACAAAAATAATAATTCCACGTTAGTTGATTATATGAAATTATTGTAATAATGAGCATATAGAGTTTATTAGAATCATAACAGAATATGTCGTCGACGGTTCCATTTTTGGTTTGTGTTCGCTCGTCGCGGTCGCCAATTATGTAGTGAGTTCGTACGCAGAGGTTGTCGATTCTTGTCCGTGTTCGTACGGCGAGGCCTCCAATTCTGTTGCGTCGTGCTCGTTCGGCGAGGTATCCAATTCTGTAGCGTCGTGCTCGTACGGCGAGGCCTCCAATTCTGTTGCGTCGTAAATCTCATTTCGTCTATACTCGTATATAATAAATGACTTTATTCCGCGTTGGTGAACAACGTAGTTAAATACGTCAAATACGAGAATGGATTTAGAATACATATAATTTCTACACTCATTGGTCTGGCCAGGGAATCAGAGTGATGAGGCGAATAGATGAGAGCGGAACGAAGCAAAGATCACGCGCGATGGAGATGGCTGGGAAGCCAACTCGAGAGCAAAGCGAGAACAATGCGCATTGGAGATTGGCTTGGCCAGTAGCTAGGATAAAGTATATGGGCTTAACAAATAAACTGATACTACAGTAGTATATAAAGAAAGGTTGTATAGAAGGATATAGTATAGGAAGGAAAAAAGTTATGAAGCAATTTTAATCTCAAGGTTTAAGGGAAGATAAAGAATGTATACACCTACGCCATTGTGATTATTGACTTCTTTTATGTTTTATGCAGGAATGTACACAGTTATTAACCAGTACTTTTTTTGAAAGTATTAGTTAGTTAGTTTCGTATACGAAAATATAACAGAACTGTAGAATAACCTACTTTATTTTGTTTTAATAACTTGTAAACATCTTAACTGGGCCATTTGTTCTAACTTCGTTTCATGTTGCATACATTGATAAATGCTTACTGTATAGAGATGGTTAAATGTAATACATTGATTGAGAAATGAAGTAAATTTTACGAAACCAGTATCAATTACATCATTTCATCTCTTGTCTCTTAATTACACCTTCGTTTTTTCTTTTAAAGTTAAGGTAGTTTTCGGCATTTACATTAGAACTACCGTTCATTGTCGTCAAGTTAGTAAATTGGAGGATATATTGTCATAAAATAACTGTATTTCCAAAAAACCACTAACACTATTTATGGTTCAAATACTCAATTATTAAAAATAATAATATCAAAATCCTTTTAAAATGATAAATCTTTCACTCTATAACACAAACACACATCATTTAATCATTCACTTAAACCTAGTAATGCACTATTATGGTTTCAGCAAATAACCAATGATCACTCTGTAATCTGGTTAACCACCACTATAACTGGAAACGAAATGAGGTCGGTGTCTTGTTGAATTTCATCGACTTAGATTGTAATTCAAAGCATTTTAATTTATTTGTCAAGGATAATATAACGTTTTAAGCAACACTGAAATTACTGCTTGCCTTAAATATCAACTTTTCCATTATATATTCTTGCTTTGAAATTACTAAAATGATTTTAACAAGGCTCGTGTATATTTTTCTCTGTATAAATATACTTTGCATTCTTTTCTGTATAGGTGTTTTCTTCTGAATCGATAGCAGTTTCCCAAAAGATAAGCGCAAGTATGGCATCAAATGATCAAAGTACCTATAACACTGAATCTACTGTTGTTAAATATTGTATTTCAAAGCCGATAACAGGTGTTTTGGCTGAACGTGCTCGTGATCTTATAAGGATTCAAAAAGCTAAATTGTTAAATCTTAAAAAGTACAAATCTACGAGTGAACTTTCACAATCTTCACATACGTCTAACCAAAGTTCTATTGATATGGACTCGGAAATCTCCACAAATTCTTCAGCTACAAATATGGAAATTAATAAACATGAAGATGTAAGTTGTTTCTCGCCAAATGATTCGAAACAGATAATGGATTATTGTTCTATCCCTAATCTTGGAAAACATTCTTCTGGTTGGTGCACAAATGACGATAAACAGTCTTTCGAGGTAAAATCAACTTTTTGTACTGATAATTTTGATTGTTACTAGAATAATAAGTATCGAACGGCTTAGTTTTCGGAAATTAAAATAATCCGCAGACAGAAAGTTAGCTAGTTCTTAAGAAGTTGTTTATAGAAATGTTCACTTCTAAGAGCATAACTATGAAAAAAGACAAAATCGAAATGTCTGTATTCGACAGGGTATCATTTTAAGTTGCTGATTCAAAACTTATTACATTCCCTAATGGGTATAGAGTACTGGATATAACATGAGCTATTTTTCCCGATAAAATATATTAAAGAAACCGTTGAAGTAGTTCAATAAACTATGAATCAGTCAAAAAGACAAACAATTAGGAGATGGGATTATAAATAAAAAATGGATCTAAGCGTTTCCTCAAACCATACATTTGGAATAGCAGCTAAAAATAGTTCAAGAGGCTAGTTTAAATAATTATTGCTTTTCATTATGGCCAAACACTTATACTCGTTATTGATAGCATGAGCCAACTTGATTTAGACATATACTGAAAACTAGGATGCACTGAACAACTGTTTTCCCTTAGCTGCAGCGCACATCCACAAAATCAGGGCCCACAGTGTCTGATGCAGATGCCTAACCTCTCAAGTATTGAGCTGTCTTCTACCGGTGTATATGTCCAACTTCAATGGATTCGCGATATACATGACCACTATCTTACATTATCTTCGGTGGATAACTGATTCACACCTGGCCACCAGGTTTGAAGTAGTTAGTGTTTTTGTTTCAATAACTTTCACTTACTTTAAACACTGGATCCACTTTTTTCCATTGCAGTTTTCTCTACAAGAGAATATAAATATGTATGAATCGTCGATACCATCTACAACAACGCCAGTCATTGTTAATAAGTCTGTACAATCACCGAAAAGTCAATATGATTATGATGCACACGATAAATCACTTCCTAATGAGATCATTATTCATGATGATGTCGTTCAAGATGTGAGCAAAACTCCAAATCATGATTTGTGCTTTGAAACTGTATCTTGTATTCAGAATTTGAATAAGAGTATGTTTATAATTTTTTTTGAGCATACAAACATATTTTGATTAATTTCACAACGATTTGAAATAAGATCAGATTTAAACTGTTTTGATAGTTGTTATGACAGAATTGATATTTACCAAAGTACACTGATAATATACTTTGCATTAAAATATAACAGTTATTACTGGGATGTAATTTACAATTTTGATTGTATATTGGTTAAAATTCAGCTCCTGATTAAAAAAAGAAACGCATTGAATGATTAAATATTCTGTATTCTTGGCTATTTTTGTTTGTTCATTGACAATTATGTTCATAAGTAACGAGGTTTTTCAAATTCATCCCTGTGAATTGAAACAAATTATAGTAAAGATAATATCAGTATTACTGACTAAGAATACTGTTTATTTGAACTTGTATAAGTTTGAATTATCCATGTGTTGATATTCTTGACAGAATTTGATCAACCTTAATTGTCATATGTACATTCTGTTCAGATTGCTTCGATATGATCATATTTGGCACAAGTTTTATAAAGTAAGTTATAGCTAACAATCAAGTCCATAAAACACGTTTCGTCCTGTTTATGACCCTTTTTTCTACTTTTCTCAAGCAAATTACTTATATATTGATCATATTCACAACCTTTTTTTCAGGGAAAAACGAATCTTACAAGCATCCACATGAACTAAACACCGTTCAAATATCAAATGAAAAAAGTCAAAATTTAGAGATAAATATTCCTTTTGAATTGTCTCCATCAGATCCACCGATTAAAATATCTTCACAATCAACACATTTAGTAAATATTCCACCTATGAATAATAACCTGTCAACACTTCAGTCACCGTCGTCATCATCATCTTCATCAACATTATCACCACAATCATCAATTAATTCACCATCATCTATTGGGTCGCAACAAACCATGCCACTGTTGTCAAGTTCCGATAAACCTCAATCATTAGAATCATACACTACATCAGATACTTTAAAAGCTGAATTAAAAGCATTACTAACATCGTCACTGATCAATTCAATTATTAGTCATAATTCAAGCGTAACAACTGATACAAATGATTTGAAAAGATTATTTAGTTCACAAAGTTATCTTTTGTCCTCTCTATCGGGAATTTATCGAAAGTAAAGTACAAAGTTATTTTGTTAAGTGTATTGTATAGGAACGAGATTAAAATAACTTCAGTGAATTTTCAGCCACAAATTAATAAATTAGAAAACAACTTTTGTAAATGAATATTTTAGGAAGAAGAAAATAATCATATCACTAAGTGTAAACGGATTTTACATAATCAGTCTTTTAAAGTCTTATACAAGTCATTCCGCCTGTAAATAAAAAAGGACGACAATGTATAAATTCTTTTATATGGATATAGATTATACGTCTCCTCAAACCCTTACAAAGATCCAAGCAGATTTTTAAGAATCCTCACATTGTTCTTAGTTAGTGTTAAGGACTTAGATTAATGAATAAAGAATTACAGTTAGGGTTTTCGTCATCAACTGACATAAGCTATAATACGAAACTGCTCGGTTACCAAAAAGGCTATCTAATCAGTTTGTTCATGTAATATCGTGTCAGGAGGTTGAGGTTTGTTCCAGGATCAAATGTCTGAAGTTTAGAAGATTCTGAGCACTAAACAAAGATACTTTTACTACTCTTAATATATGATATTTGAATTTTGATTTGAAATCTAAAATTCACCTTTTCTTTTGTACTAAATGATTTTTATGACTACAATAATAACAAAACGCGCTTCCTGAATTCCACTATTAGTCACCATTCAATTCTGTTCAAAATGCTTGCAGCTCATTGGTAATATGCAGAAAATCCTTAATGAAACCACACATTCCAAAAGAGACTAATCAGTAGCTATCCACAACATCAATGGGAAAATTTAAACAACTCATGAAAATGAAATAATAATAATTATTATTTCTGTTCGTTTGTTATTAGTTGTTAAGGTACTTTTTTCAAAAATAGAGGAGATTTATTTAATTTTGAGTGGATTACAAAGAGTTACTGAAATGTAACTATATATATAATGAAATGGGTTAATCAATTTAAGATTTTTTGTAATTATTGACGTGGGGACTGTTGATCATAGTGATTTTTATGGAGTTTGTTCATTTTCATTGGGCCACTTTATTAGGAATTACGGAGCATTGAAGTGAACAGCCCATCATTGTTCTCGAAAGTGTAACCACTACTTTTTAAGAAAATACTCGTTATAATAAATGGAGAATGTTTTAATAACGTAACAATATACATTTCGCTGTACATTTTGAACATGATTAACTAGAAAAATAGTCAGTATTCAAACTTTTTACATTTAAAGCTTAGTAATAGGTTCATTCTATTCGTAGCAATTTGTTGATATTCATATCATAAGGTTAAATTCGTGAATCTTTGTTAAACTTTCTCGTCATGTTCATTTTTAATTCGTTACCAAATACAAGCTCCATACAAAATACACAAAAACAGACATACACACTTCCTAGTTACTGTTAGAGTGTGATAAGTAATACCTAGAAGTCAATTATTATTTTTCGTCATTTTACATATTGACCTTAAAGTTTTAATTGTCAATTATGTTTCATTTCACTTCATTTACATGTTACCTTGTATAGATGAGATCTAGATTCATTTTGTCGGTAATTACTTGAAGAAAATGATGTTACTGCTACTTTTATGACTTCGAACATAACTGTTCACTTGCCAATGTACTATGCAATAAAGACTAATAGTCCGTCAAATCAATGAAGAAAAAGCAAGGCCAAAATGATAATTATAAGTAGTCATATCAGTATTTTCCATGTAGATACAACAGTACTCAATGTGAATGTGTACTACATTAGATAATTGTACTAATATATCAACACATAATAAACTTGCATATAATTTCCCGTTTTTGCAAGCTTTAATAAAAATTTAACTGATAACTCTGTACAACATGTACTAGATAACACAATCAATTATCTTAACAACCATGTAACTTTTATATGTATTTGTACAGGTAGGTAGGTTTTGGAGCTTTTGTTCAATTTGAAGAACATGTTTTTGTAACCACTGACTGATATTAACTGTAAAATCATGAAAAATCACAATGTACTAGATAGTTTTTTAATCGTAATCAAAAACTCATATCCAATCCTCATTCATAGACTGTACATAAGACTAAATCTCGGAGATTTAGATATCGCGTGAGACCAAGATTTCTTTGATACTGAGTTGAAACTCAATGGTTCACATTTCTAAGCTTAAACGATATTGTATATAATCTAACGGGGACCTAGTTTGTTGATTCTACAAGCCATAGTTTCTCATTAGAACATCTGGAAATCTAGCTCGAATCAATTCATTTATTAGGATAGAACTGTTAACATTTGGTATTATCGAATAGTCTGTGAATAGCTTGTACAATATAAGAATAACTTTCATCGTATACGGATTATCGACATATTGTTTTACATGATGCCCATTCTTGATAAAGTTTCATACAAATATTTATTGACTTAATAATGATGGCTGTTTATTTTAGTGCGAAAACTCAGACAACTGAAATCTCTTCTGAAACTGAATTGCCTTATCCGATCACATCTAATTCTTCGATTTCCCCATTAAATCCTTCACAATTATCATTTAGCCCAAAAAATGCCCAATTAGAAAAACTTTCAGGTATATAGAATTGTATTTTGTTTATTGTTTATTTATTTGTTGAGTTTTTTTATAGTTTAGGGTGGATATTTATAATTGATGGCTACTTTATTGGTTTTTGTATTCATGCAGTAGGCGCTGAATATTTTATTCAGAAAGACATTGAAAACTCTACAAATAAACCATTCACCTTAGAGAATACGATACCACTAAAAACATCTATCTTAGCTATTAATCTTCTCTTTCAATTCTTATGTAACTATTTGTTTTTTGTTTTACTATTATTATAGATAATACAAGTAATGATCAACAGTCGAATGCAAATTCCACCGAACGTCCTCTTTGTGATGGTCATATGGATAATCGATCAATCGAAAGTAATTACCCTAATAAACTAACTCTAAACAATGATTTAATTAAAACAATCAAACAACGTATTCTGAATAAATATATAAATGTAAGTTTATTTTTACTGTAACAGTCTGTTGTGATTGTTTCAATTATTGATGAGGTTTTTCTTGAAAATGTATTCTTGAACATTTTATTTACCAACGTATTGTTTGTTTATGTATAGTCAGTCAACCTAAGAAAAGTATGCTATACATTATTAATTCAATCAGAATTAAGATTGGGGGTTATTGAGTATTTTCGTACAAGATTCCAAACCCAACGATGGATAGTTTGTATTTTATCAGAGCTAAGTAAAATAAACTAATATTAAGTTAGTAGGACGCTTAAACATGTTAAATATGGGATGACTAAGGAATGCGGACTGTGATTTATGAGTTCCTATTTATATAAATATTCTTGATATTTAAGACCAAAGAACTAACTGCCTAAGTATCCATCTGTATTGGTAAAAAAGCAATTTTCCTAGAGAATTATAAACCATTACTTCTAATTCTTAACCTTAACTCTAAATACTTATCCAAACGTATAATTCTAACTCTAACCGTTTTTGCGCTTTAATATAACAAATTATTCTGAACGGCTAATGAATAGTTCTACTTTTTCAAAGTTTATATACGATTTACCGAAAGTCTTCGGCAAAGTACACTTCCACCATTATTTTTAGTATTAGATATTTTACAAATTATTTTTATAGAAATCGTTATATTTAACTATAAATTTGTCCTAATAAGCTACTACAATAGCGGGTTCGGTATTTAATTCGTCTCTTTATAATGCTACATTTAATTTTGTATTAAAGAAGTGTATTTAATGATGTCACTGTGAATATTCAATGTTAAGTAAACCGACACAGCATTTTCATAAAATAAACACTGTTATAAATGAAGTTCAGTTTTTAATTAAATGACAATATATGTAGCTGCATAGAAGGTGATACAGAGCATTACCTGTGGTTGTGAATGTGTGATATTGATTGACAACTCTTAGCTACTCACATAGGGACACTTTTCGTTATTTTTTCATACCTGATAAAGAAATCGTTTGCTATCATTTATATCATCTCATTCTCAGTGAATCATCAACTTTGAAATTTGGTCTCATGTCCTGTTTGTTGGTATTCGATTTTAAATACCTTCATAAGATTTTCTTGCGTATGTCGTGGAACCGGGAAGTGAAGAATACCAAATATATGCATAAGTTACCAAATGAAGGTCTGTTGGGGCTATGCACAGTCATCAGCTAAGGTCTGTGCAACATTTATTACGTATGCTTAACTGTTCCACTCTCAAATGTATCACTCAATGATTGTATTTTCTTATTAATAACCGAATCCTAAACTTTATCTACTTTCAAAAACGATCGATGAAGATCATCAGTCATATACCTACTGCAGCACTGTATTTTCTGTAACCATCATTTTTCTAACCATGATGTTTTCGCCTCTTTTACATGTATAGGCTAACAAGGAATGGCTTGTTACCTTATCTGGTTTAAATAATGGTAAATTATTACAAACAAATTCTTCATCGTCATCATCTTCAAATTCGGGTGTAGAATTTAATTATCTCTCTGAAGTGACTGATAACAAAGAAATTAATTGGTCTGAAACAAGATCTGACTCATCGTCGTTGCGCTCAAAACAAATTTCCATAAGTAAATCACCTGAACCTCATGAAATTTTTTCTTCACCTCAAACAAATAGTCCATTAAGTATGATTTATTCAGCACGTTTTAAACCATTACCACGATTAGAGGAGGCAACATCTGAAGAGTCAATACATACTGTTCAAGTTATTTCAGATTTCAACAATCTATCGAATACACCTTCGTCATGGACAGATAGTAGAAAATCATCAGAATTCGGTAATTTATCTAATTATTCTACAATAAATTCTAATACAACGTATATACCCGATAAATCTCTAAAAAATGAAAATACCGATTCATTTGTTCATGACGTACCAAACAATGAAGTTAATTCACATCATTTATCTGAAGAAAATGATACAATTAAACAGTTACTCGATAACATTCCAAATACTCCAATTGAACCAAATAACAATGAGATTGTGCCCTATCTAGGCTCTAAATTATCATCAACATCTTTATCCGAAAAATTAGACGATGGAACTGTCAATGTTCAGGAATTTGATCTTAAAATTATTTCATGTGCAATACCTGTTAATGATCAGCGTAACAATGTAACAACAAGTGGAACGCCAGTTATAATCAATGCAATTTCAAGCGATAAGATACCCGACGAAAATCTTTCTGAGGTATGTTTGTATTCAATCATTTATAATAATGATATGGTGTTAGATTCTACCGAGAGGACTGATATGATTCTTGATATATCGAGAAGAACCTATTAAAACGATCTCATGACGTATACGATTGTCACAAACTAATGCTAGATACCCAACCAAAACGATTGTTCTTTCATACGTCAAACCAACTGAAATCAGGAATACGTTATCACCCTAAATAACGAGTGTATGTCATAACAGTCAGTGAGACTAGGGAAATATATGACAAAATACACATAATTGTCTATGTTCATCAAGCGATCACTTCAAATATCAAGTACTTTCGCTGTTTTTCTTTTGATTTGATCTTGTGTATTTTTGTTGCGTTTAGATATGTCTAAGCTTTAAATGTTATGACTAATGTACGTCAATACCTAATCTGACCATTGTAAGTAAAGAAGTTGAGCGCGTGAACCACTGAATTTACTTTGAAAGTCTTATTAACTCTAGTGGGTTGTTGGCTGACAAAATTTCGGCATTCAGAATTGTACTTTGGTTTGTGGTCAGCCTGTGACGTGAGTTATCCGTCTGCCAATCAAAGGCTAAGTATACTCTTCAGCAATTCTCTGTTTTACTTAATGTTTGTTAAGTATGATCTTTCAAATTAAAAAAAGGCGCATAGGTTGCTAGTATTTGATCATAGATATCTTGAGAACATTTCTTGCTTATGATGGGACAGTGGGTTAAACAATTTTGAAATCATATTGTAAGTTAAAATTCAACTTAGTATTGTTTGTTTGAATCTTCCCATCTATTTGTTAGGACTGCAACTGGTCAGTCTCTAATTGGCATATGTGCATACTGTGCGTATTGCCTCGATATACCTTAATTCACAAGCATGGTTAGCAGAGATGGATAGTGGCTAGCAGTGGAATCCAGCTTGACGCGCGTTTCGTCCTATTTGGGACTCGTCAGCTGGATGTACCTGCATCTCAGAGTTGATGTTCACTCTGGGACTCGAACCCAGTACCCTCGCTTCAAACGCCATCGCGTTATCCACTCGGCCACTGAGTCCTGATAGCCTGATGGCCGAGTGGATAACACGATGGCGTTTGAAGCGAGGGTGCTAAGTTCGAGTCCCAGAGTGAACATCAACTCTGAGATGCAGGTACATCCAGCTGACGAGTCCCAAATAGGACGAAACGCGCGTCCTGGATTCCACTGCTAGCCACTATCCATCATATTGTAAGTTAGTTGTTAAAGCCGTGAATTTACATCGCTCAAGATAGCTAGGCATCGTAGTACATATGTCGAATCACTTTAAGTTAATTAGAGGACTGACAAAATTTGCTATATTACTTTAGATCGTTAATAATATTGTAGTTGACTGATAGTACTAAAGTTTTGGAAGGTAAATTTTTACACAATACCATGATAAACGATATGATATATTAGTTTTACTCATAAAAATAATTAGCGGTCATCTTTTATATCAAAGAGACTAGATAACAGTTGGATAACTTATTCTCATTGACGTTTACGCTTTTTTTCTCCACTAATGTCAACAATTGTTACAATGAAACCTCCTACATGTTGCTCAATAGTTCACCAAAGATATTCCTAGCCAGTTAGACTGTTGATGAAATCCAGGGTCGACTTGAGTCATTTTTGAAATCTGATTAATTGAGCTGGTAAATTATGACAGATTTTTCTGAATGTGTTTAGAAATTTAAAGTTGCTACTGATAATTCAAACAACCCCCAGTTTATGAACTTAAAATCACTTGATCGGTAAAACTGTAATCTAATATTTGCATTTTGATGCTTTTTTACTCCTCAAAACTGACCGATTGATAGAATTTTAGAAATCGGCTAGAAAGTCACTGTCACAAATGTTTCAGCATGCCAGCCAACACAAACCACTGACTATTTTTGCTAATGCAGAGGAAGATATTAAACAAATTTCTCGTTTCTTATTTTTTCTATTAGCATAAGTATTCTTATTTAGTATATCGAAGTCGTGTTTATCAAGCGTTTTGTTTCTCTTTCAGAATTCTCGACCATCTAGTCCTGCTGAAGGGGCAGTTAGTAAATTTTCTTCTAGCTATCATCAAAATGTAAAGTTCAATGTTTCCAATTCTTTACCGTCTGTCTTTGTTGAGAGTATGGATGGGTGTGAAAAATATCAAAGACAAACGGAAACAGTGCATTACTCTTCTGATAATAGTCTCAAAGCATTTATACAAACAAATGAAGCCTCACTTACAGATTCATTACTATCTTTCGAACGACATGAGGTTCGCTGTGATCTGCTGAGTAACTCAGGAACATGTGCAGCAGGTATGAAGTTTTTTTTCATGTATACCATACATTTCTTTAATCTTGTGTTGTATTTCATTCGCAAAATGTTATATAATACTTTGGAAATGAGTTTTTGTTCGTTGTAAATATCGTAGTATGTAATATTCATTCAGTCACAAATTCCAAAGGACTTGTTTCACATAACTATACATTAATTCAAATTGTCAACATACTCAGAGGGAATCGGTATAATGAAAATGAATCCACAGTGGGGTCGTGAATTCGCACTGTTGAGGAATCCTTTGATCGTACGAAGGAGTTATCCCGATCTTCTTAGTTTTCAGTGGTTTTATAAGTAATGTCGGTCAGTGATATAAAACTATGAGAGTTGTAAGAGTTGAGATAATAATGGTAACAATGATCATTAAAAGATGACTATACATAGAGAATATAATTTAAAATGAAATAAATGAACATGGGAACTAAAAACCTGAAGTCATCTTCAGACTAGAATTTTAAGTGGATATAAACAAAGGATTTATCTACACTATTGCCACTGGTTCTGATCTATACGGCTTAGATTTCCTCAAAAATTCCAACTTGGAAGTTTGTACTTCTCAACACGTCTCAGTCCAAGAGTCAGTGCTTTTATGGACTAATATTATATCTTAGTTTGGTTGCTACCATCGGTTTTCCATATAACTCTTATACTAGCTAGCATAACTCGTCAAAGGGAGAGATTAGTTTAATACAGATATTACTTATCGTCATCTAGAAATAAACCACTTTGTCATCTCGTGCAATATAAGGAATTGAGCTGATAATTGTCGAATTTGAAAAGAAACGTACATTCTTATGATTTGGTGAATTCCTTTTAGAAACATTTCATAATCAATCTACACGTATAGTGTACATCATTCCTTTTACAAGTATTACATTTGATTTCAAGCACATATATCCTTTTAGTGGTATCAGAAATTTTTCGATATTCAAAATAATTACTGAATTTTAATTTGTTGGTAAGAAGTGTTGTTTTCATCCAACTAACGAGTCCCGAGTGGACCGAAACATGGGTTCTGAATTTCACTATTGGCTACTATCTAAATCTCTTTATGATCAGTGAGTTGTTTAATTTTGATTATGCGAAGTTTGGGTTCAATGGATAGATAACCGGAGAATTGTTTGCGAATAATCTGCATAAGTGCGAATTCGGGTCATTCGGTGATTTATGAATAGATTTTTTAGAAATCCTCAAAAATCAACGGTCGTGAATTATTCTTTATAAATTTCCATTTTACAAATCTCAAAAGTAACACGCTTGAAAGCAATGCGTAAGCAATAACACGTTTGTTTCATACACTTTGTTGCTTTCAACGAAAGAACTATGAAGTATTTCCTTCATCTCTTTTGATGTTGTACATAATGTTTCTTTTTAAGATCCCATTCAATTCTCATGTGTTTATCTACTAAACCAAGACGTGAGATTAGTACATAGAGTTATTGTCTATCGGACTAAGCCGTTTGGGTAGATGGATACTGCCTGGTTGAGATCCACGCGATTATCATAACCAGTGATTGAGGATATTTAGTGATATGGCTGGGAATCGGTCGAAATGGGTCAGATCTATTCATCCTTTGTCTTCTCTGAGAACCTGAGTTTAAAAATGCTATCAGATTTATCCAATATTTATTTCAAATACTTTGTTTCTTTTTTCTTTTTCACAGGGGGTGGTTTGAAAAGTCAGTTTCCCGATACATTATCTAATAATGTTGATGCTAAAAATGTCTCTCCACCTACTGATATTTTAAATAACAAAAAAACAACTGAAAAACCAACAATCACTCATAGTAAATATTTAACAAGTGAACATACAATAAAAGACTGTATGAATAATCAACGTGATCGCATACCCTCTAACCGCGTTGTAGTTAAAACTTCAAATACGAGGAAACTAGATTCATTTGTGTGCACTTCGTCTAAACAAAAAACCACACGCAGTGGGATTGTTCAGAGTATGTCTACAACTGGACAAAGATTGATAAGAAGTGTAAGTCCATTTTGTTTTTAAAAAAGTATTTTAAGTCTTCCTGCTTTAGCTTAAACATAATCCTAGATTTTGCAAATTATTCTCTATTTAACACTGAAAAACAACGGTAGAATAAAATAAAAGGCTGCCTAATGCTTACAATACGTGAGAGTATTTTTTTTTCATTTTGTTTGAGCATCATTCAGAAAATGAGCTTAATTTAACTCAGATTAAATACAACTCAAAAGATCAATGTATGTATTTCCATTGCGAGACAATTTTACACTCTCTCGTCATCTAGCTGAAAAAAATCGAAAATTTAGTGCTTCATAGAAATAAGGAAATCAATATCTCTCCCATAAACTTTGCTCTTTTCGTATTACTTACAGTATAGACCAAAATAATGAAACGTCTCTCATTCTCTATTTTGTTTATACTTAACTGATTCACATCGGTAAGAGTTTCGACATGTAAAAACTTACTTTTTTATCAACCTTGTATTCGGTTACTGAATTGATTATATTAAAAGGTAACATGATTACTTGACGTGTGAATAAATTTTCTCCTTTCTCATATCATTAATAGAAAAGGTTTGGCCTGTCCCATTGCTGATATTCTTGACTCAATTTTGATTCTTCTCATGGAGAATGCCATGATGTAGCTATTTGAAATAAATTTCTGTGGAGCAGATAGATTGCGGTTAACACTGGAATCCACAATGCGCATCCCTTCCGGCTGATTAGTCTTAAATAAGATAAAATGAGCTTCCTGGGTGCCACTGCTAGTCACAATCCACTTATTACATATAGATTGTCTTATTTTTCACTTTTAAGTTGATTTACTACTGAGAAGTAACCGGATGACATGTTCGCCTAGTGCTGATTGAATTCTATCGATTAAATTTTAATATGACCTTTTAGTCTCAGTGACTCGAAATCGCGTGCACTATGTTCAGACGTAAAGTAGTGGTTGGATGTAGATTTTAAGAAACTCTGAACCTTGATCTCGTGCTATTTGGCACTTGCTATCCAGATGTACCAGTAATCTTGATCCCCCCTAATGAATTCAATGTCGTGTCACCCAGCTTCACAGTTTGAGGTGTCAATATTCAGTCGTCAATCAGTTGTAAATGTCATTGTCCCATATAAGGTCAGTAATGACCCTAATTATTCATTAGCGGCTTCCTAGATTGTGAACTTGAATGACACGCGATCAAATCCCCCAGGATCAACCAGTTCCCTCAGGATTGTGAGTGCACCTTGTTGAGGAGTGCCAAATAACACGAAAACTAGGTTCAGGATTTCTTGTCAAATACCTCCAACCACCTAACATATAACATAATTATGTTACCAGAAATCTTGCGGTCTTCATAATTAATCACGACGCACCTATTAAGGAAATCAGTGAACATTAATCTCTGGGAATTATGGAGAGTCAGAATTACCTAGTTATGTAAATAGCGGTAATTGAAAACTGTCTATTAGATGGATGAACATAATAACAGTTTCAATTATGATTCAATAACCTATTTTTTATTATATTTGGCTGATATCGCTCTGTTTTCTTGGAAACTTTTTTTCTGAATACTGTTTTTACACTTAACATAAAGCAGAGACTATTAAGATAGGTTTTTCTACAATAAGCAGTGTCTCCTTTAAGGTGAATTGCCCAGAGTTTTAGTGGTAAATCATGATCTTTGCAATTAATTTAGTAGAAAATAAGATAGGCATTTCTCGACGACACTGGATTAAGGTGACACAATATGAAGATTTGATTAAACTTAAAATGTGTACTGATGAGTTCCAGCTTAGTAATCTAAATATATTATGCTCGTTATGATATGTAAAGGTCCTGTTTTAAATACTGGATGCAATCATTAGCGCACACTTTTGAGAAGTGCAAATTTAGAAAAAAAACTTGTTTAGTGGTTGTGTAAATTACATTGATTTGTCCTAAAAAGGAGTACGTTCGAGCTTTATGAAATCCACGAAATAACCTGGTATTGCAAATAGTCATTGGTTTTATTGACTATTAACTCCCATTAGTGACTGTGAAAAAATTGGACGGTCCTTTTTTATCGTTGTACTTGTATGAGCGAATCACTTTGCAAATCGTTCTGGTGTCTGGTCAAGTTAAGGAATACTTACAAAACGGCCTTGATGAATATTTATTATGTGTTTCAAATAGAGTGATGATTGAAGCAGCGTTTGTTGAGAATTTTGACTAGTGTATTAAATATTTTGTTTAATTATCAGTTCAACCGATGATCAATGTGGAATGCAATGCATTTAAATAATTAATCAATGTAAAGGACTTCAATTGATCAGTCCTTTTTGATATATGTGCATCTTGTGTAGATTGCCTCAATATTACCATCGATTCATAAGCATTTTAAGTAGAGTTGACTAGTGGCTAGCAGTGGAATCCAGGACGCACTTCTCGTCCTACTGAGGACCCATTAGTTGTCTGTACCTACATCTCAGTATTAATGTTCACTCCGGCACTCAAACCTAGTACCTTTCGACGCACTCTCGACTTAACTAATGAGTTCACATAGCCACTTGTACAACCTGTATGAATTTTAATTCATTTTTAAGGATTTCAGTCCTAATGTGAACATCAACTTTGGAAGTCAGGCACATTCAGCTGATAAGTTCTAAGTGTGCAGAAACACTCATCCAAGATTTGACTACAAGCCACTACCTTCCTCTGTTTAATATTACTCAAATCGTTTCCAAATCTTCGATTCTCTATCTAATAATTTAGGTTTTTGTTGATAACTAAAAGGTTTTAAAGGCCATTTTTGCATCACTTTCGTCTTGCTTTTTCCTGTTTATTTTAAACTATCTTTTATATTTTTTGTAGAAACCCTCAAATGTTAACGTTCCATCCTCATCTACCCAAATAACCCGTAGATCTTCTTTAAAGTCGGCTAATGTAACGAATTTGTCCGTTAATAGTAAACGGCTGCCATCCATACCAGTGTGTACACCGAATTCAACTAGATTATCTAGTAAACAAATTAAAGTTTCTGAATCCTACATTTGTACAAAATTAAATCCTTTTAATCAAGCTAAAGTATTACAAATGGAACTATCACAATGGCAACAGAAACGCCTAAAATGTTATCAAGAACCACAGAATAATAAAATGACAATCTCAACAAGTACTGTCATTCCGAAAACAGATACCAATTGTATTTCAATCGATGTAGACAATAATATTCCACTTATACCGGATGATAATGTTCATAATATTATTGACTTGAAAAATATTCCTGGAAGCATGCAAATCAAGAGTAAGTTATTTAATCTACACTTTAATTTTTAAAAAATTCTGTATATATTGTATAAACTGTTATTGTAATTAACGTTTCCTCTCATCCTCCCTGTAATCTTTTTCAACTGTATAAACATTTATCATCCTTATGAATAGTAAAAATGATTCTTTATTCTTAATTACTTACTTTTGACTGTTACCCTCGTGGAGGAGCATAGGTCGCCCACCAGCATTCTCCATCGAACTCTGTCCTGGGCAATTCTTTCCAGTTGCTATTCATCCTTTTGCTGTCTACTTCCAATTACTGACGCAGTGTGTTATTTGGTCTTCCTCTTTTTCGTTTTCATTCAGGATTCCAAGTTGGCAATGGTCTTGTCTTATGCAGTCTGGCGATTTCCACAATGTTTGTCCTATCCACTTCCAACGTCTTTTCCTGATTTCCTCTTCAACTGGAAGCTGGTTTGTTCTCTTCCATAGTAGGTTGTTGCTGGTGGTATTCGGCCAACGGATGTTGAGTATCTTACGTAGACAATTGTTCATAAATACTTGTACCCTCTTGATTATGGTTGTGGTAGTTCTCCAAGTTTCAGCTCCCTATAGTAGAACTGTCTTGACGTTCGTGTTGAAGATTCTGACTTTCACATTGATTGACAGTTGTTTTTAGTTACATACGTTCTCCAACCGTAGGAATGAGGTGTCTTCATCCTCGCATACATTTAAATGAAAGAAAGGATTTTGATGTTAAATAATCTACAAAACTAAACTGAAGTTAAGAAGAACAAAGTGTAACAAGTGTATATCATTGAATAATCCAACTATATGTTGTTATTGTTTTCATCATCATTATTACCATTGAGTAACATTCTCAGTGTTGTTCTCCCGAAAATCCGTGAATAATAAAGTTAATTGTTTATTACTATCAGATACTATCAGCAACTAGATTATCTAACCTATTAACCTACTGTGGGAGACAACAAACCAAATTCCAGTGGACAAAGAAATCGGGAAGAAGCAGTGGAAGTGGATAGGACACACACTGAGGAAATCACCCAACTGCGTCACAAGGCAAGCCCTCACATGGAATCCTGAAGGTGAAAGGAGAAGAGGAAGACCAAAGAACATATTAAGCCGAGTAATGGTGACAGACATTAGAAGAATGAATAAAAGTTGGATAGAACTAGAAAGGAAGGCCCAGGACAGAGTGGGTTGGAGAATGCTGGTCGGCAACCTATGCTCCATTGAGGGTAAAAGGCGTAAGTAAGTAAGTTGATTACTATAAGAATTCATTTCAGTCTAAGTTATTAGAAAGAATTTAAATTATCCTATTGTTGATAATGTTAACTGAATTTTCGATGAGTCTTAATTGACATAAATGTGTGTGACTAAGAATTCAATCAAAATTATCAACAAATGGAATAAATTAAATCTCCTGTAATAATGATAATATAAATATCATACTTTTTGCATAAGTTAGTGTCTGTGTAAATAGCCTAGTGGATATCGCGTTGGGCGTTCAAGTCCCGATATGAACATCTCTGATGGAAAGAAGGTATTTGCAACTTATAAATGGATATGTACTGACGTATAGTAATTTTATTGCAAGATTTGTGATAATTTAACAAGAAAACGTGTAAAACATTGTCTTTTGAAGACTTCGTAAAAGGTGTAAATGAACAAAACTCAAAGAATGTTTTTATTACAACAAACTTGTGATGATGAACACGAATTTACTTCTATGTTGTTTTTCGTGTAGGCTAATGTGGATTGTGCATGTATTTATCCTATTCATAGTCGAAAATAGAATGATAATTGAAAATTAATGCATTTTTTAGGCTTTATACTCGAACAAATATCTTGTAAGAGTTTAATTTGAATAAATTTATTTTGTAACCAAACAAATGTGAAAACTGCTTGCTAGCACAAGAGTATGCTCTCCAGCATGGTGAATTCATCGCACACAGATTATGACACGTTACGCTTTATGTTACTTCCTAAAATTGTCTGCTTACTTGATTATGAAGACATACCGTAAATTATTCTTATATAAGCAAGTCGTTACACACAATAATATTTACCTAAGTATGTACCTTAAATTAGGCAAATGTGCCATGTTTATTCAATCTAATACCACCGAATTCGTTATCAGTTATGGTAGATGTTATAACGTGTGGGTGCGTACGTGTGTGTGCCCTATTTGATATATGAACGCGCTGATCCCCGCCAATCAGAGAGCCGCGAATTATCGATCAGAGCAATGATACGCAAAAGCCGTATGATCAGTCTTGAGTACTACTCGGTCCTGCTTTCTGCCTAGCCCAGTCAGTTAAGTCCAGAACACCACTAACAGCCTCTGCAATATGAATCATTATTCACAAACATACTGGGTTTATATTAAATAGGAATAATATATTCGTAAAATCTCAGCGAATGAACTTTTTAAATTAAATCCAACGTTTCGCCTGGCAATCTGGTCCAAGCTTTTTCAAGGAATTATAATCAAACATCAAAATTATCGAATACTGGGTTTATATACCAATAAAACAGACCACATCATACCACAAAATAGAAAATAACTTTCGTACAATATTTAGCCAAATGTAGCTGTGAATAGGGGGAACAGTAATCAATAGACTAGGAATAACTTAAGAATGGCATATCGTATAATAATAGTTCATAGCTCAAAACAAAGCTTAGGATAAGAGGAACACGAATACGAATAGTTTAGTTACTTAACAATTATGAAATAGGAAATATACATATTACATTGGTCCATAAATAGTCCTCAAAGTTACCATTCATAATTCTCCACGGGAAATAACAATAGATCAATATTTTTATTATTTTTTGTTGTAGTCATACTAACATCTACTGAATAAAACTTGTATTTTTACGTTGTACTTATTAAATCCCAAACAGGCCTTGATATCACTCAAAGGTTGTCTTTTCTGAGAAATTTTGATCCTAGGATATCTCTTTTCTCCATAACTTCTTACTTTAACTTAACAATCATTTTAGGTGATCAACAAACAATTGAAAACAACCAGTCATCGCCCTCCAATGATAACGTAAATCAAACTTCGGTGGATTTAACTGTGGTGAATGAAGACCAACCAGTGTTGTCTTCTCTTCCTGGAATTGATGATTCATATCCTCCTCTAGCAGTTTGTTCCGGTGATTTGTCGATTATTAAACCAGTATCTGAAATGAATGTTCCGTAAGTTGTAATTTGGAGTATTTGTCGTACATCATTCTATACACATTATGTATCGAACTTTAACATGATACATGAAATTACCATTTTATTTAAATTGGTTCACAACTGTATTCTCCCTATTTCTATTTCTATTTACCTACTCGACTATCAGTAACTTGTATTAAGTAGTCTGTATTGTCTACTTTTAATAGTTATTTCTATTATAAATCTTTATACCACTAACTTTGTTACTAATCCTACTACTCTGGGGTTTACTCTAACACTTTTATCTCGCTATGCTAATGGGGTATAGCAACTTGAACCGACGTGCACACGTACCAGATTCTATGTTTTATATGACTGACTTACTAAAACTATCCATTTAATATTGATATGTTTGTAATATTTTGAAGTTATTTTGGTTGTACAATGGCTTTTACTGTTTTTATATAAATTTTAGTTATAAAAAATAGACATGACATCAGTTGATGATATGCTTGATCAATAGTAGGATTCTCTAGCATGCAATTTTGGGTGACCGTTTTCATTTATCATAGTAATTCTGGTTAACAGTGGATATCATTTAGAAGTCTTTTTATTTCACTCAGGATCACAATATTTCAAGTGATATTACAAATCATATTTGTGTGAGAGACTATGGGATGGTCTGATTTTACACTCAAATTGAATCTCATCATCATTTTCACAATTCTAAATATCCAAACCGTTACACTGCACCATTTACACGATAACCGAATAGGTTAAACCATGTTAGAGGTTAGACAGATATCATTGATGGCACTAATATGATTGTTGTCCAGTACCACAAATTAACTGAAGTTGTAAATGTGAACTACCAGATTCTTGGTCTTCAATTATTTTCCGGCTACATGTCAGTTTAGTGATGAAAACTAACTTGATATTAAAAAATTTCCAAACATACACACAGATACACAAAAGGTCAATAGGCTCATCAACTATTTGTGTGTGTAAGTAATTTATGACCATTAGAACAAATTAAAAAGTTTCATCTCATAATATCGATAGTTATTAGATCTTTTTTTACAGAAGTACTTTTATGCTTGAAATAATTAATAACAGTTAGTGTAATCTGGGGCTATTTCATTTAGTAGTGGTATGTTGCCATTTTATGCCACAAACTTTCGATTACCGGGCTAATAAAATACTGGTGTTTTCTTATGGGTCTATTGTTAGCAGTTTGCTGGGATTCATAGTACACTTTAAGGATTACTATCTAAGGACATTGAGTATAGTTGGAAACTACGTTGTTAATAGTAATATTGATTCATACTTAAAAGGAAAAGCTTGTTTTAGTCAAATTTTTGATAAGTACCACTCAGCCACTAATTTTTTTCAGGTAAGTCACTGCCAGAATGACTCCAAAGCTGATCACATATATTTAAATCATGTTCGCAAATCATATTTTTGTCTAAATATTTCTGGGCTATTTGATTGTCTCCCTAGTTTTTGATTATTTACTTTAATTTAGTGGTGACTCAACAGCACCAGTCAGTGAACATCCTAATAATGTAAATTTTCAGTTGACTTCAGCAATACCACCTCCTGATGTTTCAAAACCAGACAACCATTGTGTTAAAAAAATTAGTGCCATATCATGCACACCGATGTCATCATCTAAATCATACGAACGGAATGATTCAACTTTGTTTGATTATGGTCGTCGTCAGCGGGCCCATGCAAATCGTCAACGTGTAAAAGAATTCGATCGTGTAAGTCTCTTTTCTCAACAATGTAAATCTTTGACCGGTGGGTGAACGTTTTGGTGTTATAATGACAACTTCATATATTCAAACAATTCATATGTTGAAGCGTTTCTAAAGTTAGTTCTCATTGCAGTAGGATAACTTACTACATGAATTGTATCTTAATATTAGTCCTTAGCAAATGAACTATGGACATCAGCAAAATTTCATTGTGAGATTTCCTATCAGATGATACAACTGTACTACTATCAAAGACATTACCAGTTAGTTTTATTTCTAAAATTTGTTGAATTTTTTTGTTCTCAATTTTCCATTCATTTTTCTATTGTTTAGATTCGCCGCGAACAATTAATGAAACGAAGAGTATAACCCAGACTAGTGTTTATTATTATTACTTTTTATGCTTCACTTATTATATATGATTTACACTATTCAAGATTCAGTTGCAAACGTTATTTATTATTATATTTGAACGATTTTATCCAAAATAAAGTCTTTTCGTTTTGTGATTAGGTGTCAAACATAAGTTTGGTCAGGAATGTATACTTTCATAAAACGATTTATTAATAGATTCAAATGTTCAGAAAGATTGCAAATTTAGGTCAGTTATTGCATAACGAATTATCAAACGATGATCAAATTCCGACACCGGTTTATGACTACTGATGTTTTGTTATGATGTGATTGCCCACAATATAAAATTAAGAGCTTTTATTTCTAAACAGGCGACTGTCAGTATGTATACTGACAATTTAGTAGACTTGATCTCGTGACTAGTTACATTTGAGGTTATATCATATCACTTTTTACCATCATTCAATAATTTTATTAACCCTATCAGTTAGAAACAGGTTTATCAGAAATTATTTTAATATCCAACCCTTAGAAGGTAACCTAAAACTGACTGGAGTAGTCATTTGAATCTTCATACATTTCTAATGTCTTGGTAAAGAGCTAGTACAAACCAGTTTGTTTCTCAGCTCCCTTATCCCCACGTAAGCAAGATGCAGTTGTAAGTCTCTGGTTAGATCCGAAGGGGTCTCTCTAATCACTAAGTTGCAACAATTTGAGTGATAAGTTATGTGCGACCTATGTTCCCTTTGTGATTGTGATTTATGGATGGGCCGGTCAAAAGTGAGAAAGCGATCTCAAGATCGTGACGCTTATTTTAATACCGAGTGCATACCTAAGATCATTTTACTGTGGGTGTCATAGTTGAGTGCTTACAACAAATGGAATTGTTAGGAAGCTTTGATATTTTTTATTGCGCAGTTCTACTGACACCTCAACAATGTGTTGACTTTTCCAAGGACGTGGTATTTCGACATAACAAATATCTGTATCATAAAAATTCCTTGCCGATTGGTACTGAAACAAATAAAAGCACCATTAGCACTTTTTTGATATTACTGAAGTTTCAGTTATACGAGTACTGCAGAGATATATGTGCCATAAAGGCATGGAGTTTAGATCAGACTTTTGGAAGCTATGGAAGAATAACGGAAATGGGTGAAGCCGTCGTCTAAAAGTCCAAATGTACTGGAGGAAGAGATGCGAGCAACGGTTCCTTAAATCCACTTGGCATGTTTTACGTATGTGCCATAAAATACCACAAAAGGGATATTTCCAACACGTCATAAACCAAAGTCTACAGCATTGGTACCAGTTGTACAAAATTATGTCCAGCCGAATACTGCTATGTATACGGACTTCTAACGAATATACCTATGCCTATCTACGCTTGGCTACATACAACATTTTGTCGTTCACAAAAGACATCTTGTAGACCCAACCACTGGTGAACACAAACAACATAGAAACATTTTGGTTAAGGTTATAATAACTTTCTCTGACTTAATCATAGCTCCAGAGTTCGATTGTTCCGAAGTTACTTCGATGTGTTTCTGTACTGTACGCATTATGGTTTCATAACAGTAGAACCTAATTCTAACATTCATAAGTTTTCAACCCATAATAAAGAAGTCTATCCTTTACAGGTTTTTTGTTATTCACTATCGACTTTTTTCTGATTGGCTGACATTTGTCTGGGCCACTCAAGCCACAAGGCATAACGATTAGATAGTTTAGTCTAACGTAATCAGCAGGAAAATAAAGTGTAACTTTGTATAATTTTTTGTCACACTATGCTTATAAAAGTACATTATGGCTAACGATCTTCAGTGATTTATCATTCAATCAGAAAGCAGTGTTTAGCTGTGAAACAATTAATGACAAAAGTAGAGAAATAATGGTAAAGTAGTAGCCTTGACCAGAATAATGAACGCTTGTAGTGAATTACTCTTTTGTGGTAAGTGGGAATGGTTAGTTTTACAAATTAGGGGTTTGGGTAATGTCATAATCCCATAGGGGTTTTGTCACCAACTGACAACAGCTGTAATTTGAATGGTTAAGATTAGATCTCAAGAGTTTAGCAATGGTTGTGAGCTCGGTGAGCAAACTAGGGTTACAGTTTTCACTACGAAATGAGATCAGCTATGATATGATTTGTGTTTAATTACCACCCGTTTGCATATGAACTTAAGAAACTTATTCTTGAATCTGAGAGTTGGAAATTACGAAGATAGAGGGCTGTCTAGACTCACTAAACAGTCTTGATGGTTAAATGAATGGTATCGTGTTATAGCACACACCATACCACGGGCAGATATTCTTTATAAGTTGACTTAAGCACCATTTAATAAATATTTTTACCATTTTCAACTATTCGAGGAACAGAAAATTGCCATCACTTAGTTCATAATATCAGATACGTTATCTTTCATTGCACTTTCTAATTCACGGGTTGCTAATTCAATCCTGACTAGATTACAGATCCGCTGTGAGTAATGATGTGATTTTGCACGATTTTTTCCCTTCTGATGAGAACTATCGAGTAAATTTCCTAGCGGATCTTCATGGTGGTTTTCTGATGAGCTTGTCTTGTTAAAAGATTTAGACTAATAATTCGTTGTATACCATGGCGTAGCTACTTCACATTTTGTGTAGATAAACAGGACCAACCATAGCTTACTGAGTCGAACATCTTACATTGTATGTCATGGCTCTGTAGTCTTTTACGAATGCCTTGTGGTTTTCTATATAAGATGGATGTCTTTGTTAGAGAATGTTAAGAAAGTATCGTTGATTTAAAGTCGAAGAATGGTGTACCTCTTAAGCATCATTATGAACACTCCAAGAGCAACGATATCAATTTATCTAGAAACGGAATTAAGTATAACGAATTCGTCAGCTAAATTCTCAATGTAACCAGAGTTCGGTAAAAATTACATGAAATTCATTCTCTACAAGGCGCAGAGTAATTGAATCCTTACTATTACCATCTCAAAATTTATATCAGCTTGGTTGCGCCTTCAAACGAGTAGAATCTCCACTAATTTTCAACTTACGAATTCTTATTACTGTTTTACTAATTCTAAGAAAGACGCATTGGTCATCTCACTGTTACTTACCAAACATTTCCTCTTCTTCCAAGAATCTGTCATTCGGCAGTGGGAATTTTACTCCATGTATATCTCCCCCCCATATTCCGAAATATTAGTCAGCATAAGGTTATAAATGTTCCTTGTAGCACTCGTCCGTATTTCCCTCTCACCGTCTATTGCTGATGCATATAACAGTGAAACGTTTGATTTGTCCAGAATTCGTTGATGTGGTTACATTACACTTTCATGAGCGAAAACCGGTGGTATGGATATAGTATGTCGGGTGAAGTACCATACCCTAGTCTTATTCCGGTGAAGATGTTGTGAATCCTGTATAGCAATGACGTAACGAATATCTGGCGTTAAGTTAGGAATATATGTTGCATATGTGGTTTCCAAAACTAACGACCTTTCTGTAGTAGTTGAGAATAATGGACTTAAAATCCATTTTTTAGTTTTTGCATGAATGTAGGAAGAACCCATGTATTTGTCTTTCATTGCAACTGTTTTCTTACACAATATTTAACGTTTCTCCTAAGCGTACAAATGCTGCATGTAACAATATACTATGCGGTTAAATACGAAGCCGTTATTCTATTTACCTCCAGTTGCATTTTTGGCTTGCATGGCTGTAGCGTGGTTCATTTTTCACAGTATTTTGGTTTTCTGACGTTTTCTTCCTACTCCTATATAGATTTGCAACTTCTAACGAGATTTTATTTAACTCTGTCATTGGGCATCGATGACTGTATTTTCATTATTATTAATTAATTGATTCAATTATCCCTTGGACAAAGTAAATAGCGTTTCTTTTTTGTGGAAAAGTGCGCTGCTGCTTAAAACTTCAATCCCCAACATCCTAAGTGGATTGAATTGATATATTCACTGTGATATTTCTTGATCGGCCAGAATGCTGCCTTTTCCCGTCAAATTTTTCTGTACAAACCTCTACTAAAAACAGGCGGACTTGTCTGATAATCTAAGTTGTTTAGGATGTAGCTGTGAATAATTCCCCAAAATCAATAGCTCATTAAGTGTTCGACATTGGATGCTGACCACATTGTTTAAGTGGACTTGTTTAACTGAAGGCTTTCGGTCATGCATCCGTACCAGATCACGTTTCAACTCGGCGTGGGGCACAGCTCCCACGTTTCACTAGTCAGTTTAGAATAAACTTTCCTCGATATATTGATAACGTATAAAATATATCTTTCCTACCTCTTCTCGTCTGACTTTTGATTTCTATCGAGCGTAAGAAGATTTCGAATATAGAAGGTACTACTGGCCGCTAATTGTCAAATTAGAACACCAGTCGTATCCTTAGTGATGAGCCTTACGTGATCTG